TATACTTTCTGGTATATAAGAAAGAACTCTTTCTTATATACCATGGAGTATTACTCAGCTATAAAGAAAGATAAACTCAAGGCTTTTATAGGTGAATGGATGCAACAAGACCATACTCAGGGAAGTGCTTTTTTTTTTTTTTTTTCCCGGAACAGGGGATTGAACTTAGGCCCTTGCACTTGCCAGGGAAGCACTTATTCCACGGAGCCATCTCCCCAGCCCCAACAAGACCATACTCATAAGTGAAATAAATCAGACTTGTATAAACATCATATTGTCTCCCTAGTGTAAGAAGCCAAAAAAAATAAATGAAATCAGAAGGGTATAATAGATAGTGCATTTCTTTAAAAGAATGTTACTCATATTTTAAAAATGCAGACAAACAATGCAGCGTGATAGTAGGGCGCTCTGCACTGCACAGAAAATCCAGGGCTACTCCAGGAAGGAATGTCCAGTTACTTTTTCCCTGAGCTTCCTGTCACTTGCATGGGACATGCTGACCACTCACAGGGATGCCAGCTGTAGCAATCAAGTTCAAAGTACCATCCTGGCCCCATCCCAGTGAGGACAAGGCTTGGTGGCCCGGGTCAGAGTCCCAACTCTTGGAGCCTCACTTGGTGTTGGCTAGTGCTGTGTGCCTCAGTCTCTCGTTCCCCCAGAGGCAGATGCCTCCCAGCCCTAGGAGGAAGAACAGATGGAGCTAAGCAATCAGGGCACTTCAGAAGTCGGTAGATGACGTGCAGGTATAAGGATGGTCACGCTGACTCGCTGTGCCCCCACAGGAAGCTCTACCACCCCAACAATGCCCAGCTGGGCATGGCTGTGATGCGGGCAGGGCTGACCAACTGGCATGCTGGTAACATCGAGGTGGGGCACGGGATGATCTGCAAAGCCTACGCAATTCTCCTGGTGACACATGGACCCTCCCACCCCATCACCAAGGACTTAGAGGCAAGTGTCTGCTCAGGGTGGGGCACTCACACCTGCTCTGAACCCTTTGAGGATGAGAGTCCTAGTTCAGCCAGACGTTGCTTAGGTAGGCCATGGATTTCCACTGGATGAGGAGAGGACTTAACCTTGCCTTGCTTAGGCTACCCCTTCTTGTTGTACACCAGAGGAAACTGAGGCTCAGGCAGTGGGAATAATCTGTCTATAGTTAGTGAGTTGATGGAAAATCTGAGACTCAAAGCCTAAGTCTGTTATATCACACACTCTGAGCCTGCCCTGAGAAAGATCAAATAGCATTGTTCATGTGTGTGTGAGTGTGTATCTTTGTGTGCAGTCCTTCATATTAGAAAGTATTCTACACAGAGTAGAGTCTGGAATCTATTCACTAGGATTTAGTTTTCACTGGTAAAGATTTTTAGCCCTGTGATTTTGTAACTATTGACTGGATGGTCAGTCTCTGCATTAGTGCCAAGTAAGAAGAGGATAAGGTATGGCAAGGTTCAATAAGGAGCAAAAGTTCTTAGAGTAGTGGCTGGTAAATTGTATGATCTTTATAGTTGCTGGTCTCCTTTGTGATTTGAAGGGCTGGTTTATTTGGGTATGACAGGTCTGTCCTCATATGACATAACCCAGGGAAGTCAGAGATTGGTGTTATAACACGTATTGAAATGGTTACGTTTAAGACCAATATGTTCTCAAGTATGGGTGTTCTGTTCCTTCCTATGTCCCCAGTTTCCTCATCTATAAAATATATACAACCAACATGCTAGACCTTCAAAACTGATGTCAGTGCCAACTGGGGCAAAGAGAAGGAAGGAACTAACTTTACATCTAGCATAACAGCTGTCAAAGGAAGTATAATTACCAGATTTCTTCTCTATGGTAGCCTCAGTTCCTAAACAATCCATGGCCCCATGATAAATATTCCTATGGATGTGAGAGTCAGGGCTCTGACCTGGGCCACCAAGCCACTCTCATACACATTTTGGAGAGCCAGGGGATTTTGTGTTCATGCAGTGCAATCTTCCCAGGCCCCTGGAAAGCACAAAGGAATCTTATCCACTTCATGGGTGAGGACACTAAGCATGGAAGTAGTTATGCCACTTGCCTCAGGTTGCACAGCCAGGAAGTTCAGGAGCCAGAGCTGAAAACAGAGCCTCCACTTGAAAGTTTATGACCCACTGCCAAGATACAAGCCCGCAGTGTGTGTGTGTGTGTGTGTGTGTGTGTGTGTGTGTGTGTGTGTGTTCTGAGGAGCAAGTTGAATGTCACTAACTGGGAGTCATTTGCTTGGAGGTCAGTCAGGAGCCGATGCATCCTGAGGGCTTCTCCTCACTATTTATGGTACATCTGTGTCCCACAGGCTATGAGGGTACAGACAGAGATGGAGCTGCGCATGTTCCGCCAGAACGAGTTCATGTACCACAAGATGCGCGAGGCTGCCCTCACCAACCAGCCCATGCAGGTCATGGCTGAGCCCAGCAATGAACCAGCCCCAGCTTTGTTCCACAAAAAGCAGTGAGCACCTGGGGGTGGAGAGCAATGTGGCTGGGAAGCTGGGAAGAAACTTGGACCTGGCGGCTCTCTGCAGAGTCTCTTGATGAGGAAATCAGAGTCATTTTGCACTTCGTGACTGAGGCAATGTACTGCCCTTAATTCCCAATGTCATTTTGGTTCAACTCAACTTATTTTAATTCAATTTAACTCTATCTCATTCTTGCAGAACTCTTCCTATAAGTATTCATTGGTGCTACATCCTAGAACCCAATGAAGGATCATAAATATAGTGGGAGGCAAAAAGTAAACAAACAAAGCACAGTGTGATGCCAAATGCAATAGCGAACAGTGTAATGAGAGGGGTGGTGCAGAAGGGGGTATATGTCTGGCTCATGTCTGATGCCTGTGTTATGTGTGCATGTGCAATGGGGTAGTCATGGAGAAGTTGACATCCAAGATGAGGGTGCCTCTAAGTCACTGGTGTCCCATTGACTCTTCACCCATCTGTGCAGAGGTCTCTGGGGCTACTGGTCTCAACCATGGTCTGGAATACTCAGGATATAGATTAGAATTGGTGATACCCAGTTTCCTCTGGCTGGTGTGGCATTCTGCGGAAGGACTGTGCTTGGTCCCTTAGGATATACCCAGAGAGATGAATACTCTTCAGAATGGTGCAGTGCAGAAAGAGGTAGTGGTCTTGAGAACTACTCCCAGGTCTCAGTTCAGTTTGAATCCCAAGTATAATTTTAGGAATAATTCTAGAATGCACAAGGAAATGATGTCTCCCTTCCTCACTCTCATTTCTGAGCCTTACAGCTGTTTGGATGTGGGGTCTACTTAATACAATATCTGAGACTTTTCTGGCCATCAGCACAAGAGGATTAAAAAAGTCATTCAGGGGTGAACCTTTTCAGGGTGAAGCAAGGTAAAACATGCATACATGATGACCGTGGCTGTGACAGATTTGGCTTTGGCTTCCCTTGCTTAATTTCCTTTTTTCCCCAATTACCTGAGGGTTTTGCTCTTTGCACCAGAAGAACTCTTCTTCCCTCAGTCAAGAGCTCATTAGCAGTATGACAAATGTGTCCTTGTTCTCTGAAAGGTGTTCTTGGGAATCAACCAATCCCAAACATAGTTTATTATCTTCCAAGACTCCAGATTTTTCATCAAAGTTTTTGGGAATTGTAGAATATAACCCTTCCACTGGAGGTATCACCAAGATTTCTACACATCCATGACCTATCGCAGAACCCAGAAGTCCACTTAACATCTTTTATCTTTTTTTTTTTTTTTTTTAGGTTTTTTTTTTTTTTTTTTTTTTGTACTGGGAAATGAACTCAAGACCTTGCACTTGTCAGGTCATTCTTTGTGCCACTGAGCTACATCCCCAGCCCTTTTATCTAACAGCTTGTAGGCAAGCAATCCCATCATGCTCCATAGTTATTTATCCTTTCCTGAAATGTTAGCTCCTCTCCTCCATTTTTCATCCCCAGAATGACACACTGTCTCCCTTTGACTCTTGTCCAGTGGCTGAAAACTCTACACAGGCATTATTTCTCTGTAGAGAATGTACTTGGCCCTTCCTTGAGGATACTTTCTTCTCTAGAAAGCTTTGTAGGAATTCTAACACCTCTTCAAGTCCACATCCCACTGTTGAGATAGCACTGACATTCTCCCTCAGTTCCAAAAGCTGACATTCTCCCCAATGTTCCAACATTGAAATTATTATTCCTGCCCCTCGTGTGATACCCTTTCCTGTCTGTTCATCCACAGGTCTTTCTTCCATGTTCATGTTACTTTTCCCCACGTCATCATCATAAATTGTCTTCGATGAGCTGTGCTCTGTTCCTTTCCTCTCTTCTTTCCCACTCCATGGAAAGGGAGTCCTTTTTCTCCTCCCCCAAAGCTAAACTCTGTATCTGTACCTTGGACTCCTTGCTCTCCTGTGTCTTTGAGACCTTTGCAATTATTATTCCTTCTCTTCCCTCTGCCCTTGACCTTTGTCCATCACTAGCATGCTTTAATGCAGTAGACAAACTGCAGAGGGCTCTTGGACTATAATCTTCATGTCTGAGTATTCTTGGTGATTGGATTGTGTCTGCTTATGCTCAGGTTTCATCTCTTTCAGAACCCACTACAGACTGGCTTCCATTCTTGCTCCTGTACTCAATGGCTCTTACCAAGATCAACTCTACTGGGTATTTGATAGTCCTCACATTATTTGTCCTTACATCGTTAGTCATTACATTCATTGTAATCCATGAATGACACTCTCAGACCATGATTTCTGTGTCCCCCATGAACTTGGGACATTCTCCGATGTGGTTTTTCTACTTGACCAGTTTCTCAACCTGCTCCTTATGGGTTAGCATTTCTTGGGTTGGAGCTGGCCTCGGTTCATTCTCTTCTCACTCTGCAGTCCTCCCTGCACGAGCTTAGGCAGGCCCCTTCTGTAATGGCTACCTTGAAGCTGATGACTGTCACATCTCTGAGACCTAGATCAGTCTCTGATCTTGCATTTGATTCCAGCTCTGTGCACCCTCTTGGCTATTCTTCAAACACATCGACTTCTGCATGTTCTCAATGAGACTTTGTTTTTCTTTCTTTCTCAACATGAGAACATCACTCAAAATCCACCCCCACATCAGACTGTGAGCTCCTGGAGGCAGAGGCTGTGCCCTTTTCTTTATCTTTCTATCCCCAGAACCAAGCACAGGACCTGGGAAATTGTAGGTGCTCAGTAAATGTGTGTTGAATAAGTGAATGGGTGACCACTGGGTAAATTTGCTTTTCTCATAGCAAAAAAAGACATGAAACTGCATCTGAATTTTTAATGTTAAAACAGTCAACAAGGCCTATTAAACCCTCTGTGTTTCCAAGAAAACAGGTGTGACTTCTTTCTTGCAATCTTTTTAGAGCTTCACTGTCTCCTAGAACTTTCTGTGATGATGAACATGAATGATATCTGTGCTGTCCAATAGTCATCAAACATCACATGATCATCAATCATTTGAATATGGCTGAGGAACTAAATTTTTAAGTTTTTCTACTTTCAGTTAATTTATGTTTAAATATCCAAAATAGGGGCTGGTGAGATGGCTCAGTGGTCTAAAGCACCTACTTAGAACAAGCTTAGCTAAAGCACAGGGACCGCGGTTCAATCCCCCAGCACTACATGCCAGTCAGCCCCGCCCCCTGGTGGGCTGAGCTGGCCACACACACACACACACACACACACAAATAAATAAAAAAATTTAAAAAAAAATAAATATCCAAAATAACCAGTGACTACTGTATTAGATTGTGCAGTTTTAGAGATTTTAATACAGTTTTCATGTAGATTTTAAAAGCATGGGCACTAAGAAAACTACTTAAGTTTGTCTTTATCCCAGCTCTGTGTGACATGGGACTGATTTCTTCACTCATGTGTTGGTCAGCTTTCCATCCCTGAGACAAAATACCTGACATGGGTCGACTTAAATAGGAAACATTTCTTTTGATTCATGCTTTCAGAGGTTTCAATCCACAGTGAGCTGGATCTGAGGCAGCAGTAGCAGGGTGGAAGGGCTTGGTGAAGGAGAGGAAATGGAGTGAAGAGGAAGAGCCAGAGAGGAAGGGGATAGAGGCCAAATAGACTCTTCAAAGGTGGCTCCCACTGAATGACTCCTCCAAGTGGGCTCCACCTCCTAATAGCTCATTGGACAATGAACTCAGCGATGAACAAATCCATTGAAGAGGTCAGCACTCTCATGATTCAGTTGCCTCTTTAGAGCCCATCTCAGAACATGCTGCTTTGAGATTCAAGCCTTTGGTACAGGAGTCTTTGGACCATGGTTAAACTGTGACAACCCATGTATTAGTTTTTTTTTTTATTTCCTCCCTGCATTAGGTTTCTGTGAAGATTAATTTTCTTAAATATAAATAAGACCCTTAGAGACCCTTAGAACAGTACCTGCCTGAAGTGCTCAGTTGACTGTGTGCTATAATTCCACTGCTTCTAATGATGTTTCCTCTGGGGTCTCCCTTCTCCTAACTAGAAAGTGAGTGGGAGAGGGCTGGGAGAGGCTGACCGTACATCTCTCTCCCCAACTCTGCATTCCTCACACTTATGGCTTCAAATCGGCCATGGTAGTAATTGATTCATGGACTTAATCTCAGAGTACTTTAAATCAATCTAGTATAAAAGGAGGTTTGCCACATAAGCAAGCAGAAGGGATAGTTAGAAACTAAGTGAAATCTGAGTTGTGATTCTAGCCCTCAGCTCTGCAAAATATGATATAATATCTTGCTCACCCCTCTTCAGTCTAAACCCAATGCCCACCATACCACCAGTGTATCCACAAGCACACTTGCTAAAGGCTATCGTATGGACTGATCTCTTCAGGTTTACTTCTCTTTAAAATGCATCAGGAAGTGAATATAGATAACTTTTTTTTTTGTTACTGGAGATCAAACCAAGGACCTTGCACTTGCCAAGCAGGCACTTGTGCTGATAAGCTACCTCCCGAACCCCGGCATCCTTTGATTAGTGACCGAGTTCTGTTCATGTGATTAAGTTATTAAATTAATTGGTCACTAAGTGAAGAATTGTATCTAATATGTACAGTATAATATTGAGAACAAAGAAATAGTCACTGGAAGCTCTAACTTGATGACCTTACTTTTATTTTCATAACCCTTAATGCAGTACTGTATTCTAACACCCCAAAACAATAGCACTATACAGTACAATCAGCAAAAATTATAATAGTATATAAAGGTACACTGTACAGAAAGAAGATTGAGGATCTCTAAACAAGATGTATGGAACTGTACAAAAATGGGGTCACAAGTCCAACTGATGTGTTGTTAAATCCAAACAGTGCTCCCTTGGTTGGAAGTCTGAACAGTCATTAAAGATGGGTCACTAAACAAGTAATGTCTGTATAGGTAAGTGAGTTTCTAAAGTAGATTTCATATCAGGTTCTTTTTTTTTCTCTTTTTTTTTTTTTTTTTTTTTTTTTTTTGAGATAGGTCTGGCCACATAGTTCAAGCTGGCCTTGAACTCACAATGTAGCACATACTGGCCTCAAATTCACAGTGATCCTCCTGGCTTGGTCTCTCGAGTGCTGGAATTACAGGTGTGCGTCACCATACCTGGCCCCCTATCAGGTTACTCTTAGAGCTAAAAAACTCTCATGGATTTTCTACTCCTGAATCAAGTCCAAGTTCACTTCCGGTGTAAAAAGAAATTAATGGGCCAGCCAAGTAGCTCAACTGACTGAAGCACCTGCTTAGGCAGAGTGCACTGGCTGGGCTTCAATTCCCAGTTTACTTTGCCGGCTCTGCCCCTGGGGCAAACTGAGATGGCGATTGAGACTGGGTGTGGTGGTGCACTCCTGTAATCCCAGCACTGGGGAGGCTTTCAGCAGGAGAATCACAAGTCCAATCTATGTAGTAAGACCCTGTAGACCCTGTAGATCCTGTAGACCCTGTACTAAATACATTAAAAAAGAAAGAAAGAAAGAAAGAAAGAAAGAAGAAAGAAGAAAAAGAAAGAAAGAAAGAAAGAAAGAAAGAAAGAAAGAAAGAAAGAAAGAAAGAAAGAAATAAATTCATGGTGGAGACTCAGTCCTTTCCTTTCCTCTTCTCTTTCTAAGCCCCATGTGCATCACACTTGTTGAAGAGCAACTACCCCTGGATCCTGCCATACTTCCTCCAATGTTTTTGTAGAAGAAATTCTGGAACACTATGAAATGCTCAACGTGTCTTAAAAAAATGCTCTGAAGGTCAAATATGGACCAAGTTAGAGTCCCTCCTTCACTCCAACTCCGCATTACTTCTTACTTTTTCGAAGAAGCAATGACTGTTTCTTATGAATATAGGTATCAGAACCCTCCATTACCAAGCGGTGTCCTCTCACAGTAAAGATTTCTCACTGTGGGCGAGACACCCACAGGACAAAGAGAAGGGGAGAAGGATCAGGGTAGAAATAGCTGATCCCTACCACAGCTGTTTATTCAGCTCATGTAAAGGAGGCTTCCTGCCCAAGTTCTCTGAGCTCCTATGTGAAATCCAAATTCAGCATTTAAAATGAATTCTCCCTACCTGGCAAAGCATATGAACAACAAGCTCTCCTCACAGCTGTTCCCAGGGGAAGAACCCTGGTTAGCAGGAGTCTGGGGAATTGAGCAGATCCCTGGGGGTTTCACCGAGAGGACTGTGGGAGTCATGGATCCTCGTTTCCATTGTTTATGTGCTCAGTGGATGACACAAACCTCTTCTCCTCCTGTTTGCTCAGAGGTTAATTTCTCTGAATATA